TTTTTTTTTTTTTTTTTGCTTTCAGGAATCACAGTCCTGCCCTATCCATTGAAAACTTTAATATATTTTGCCTAGTTTTCTAGTTGTTTTATTAAATCGGTACTAGTTTGATACTGTTTATTTCATCTTGGCCTGAAACTAGTAGATTACAATTTATTGACACTTCTCCCCATTTCAAAACAGGATGAGAAGAAGTTTGGTGTGTTTATTTTTTAATGGAATAGAAAAATGAATTATTACTTTGAAAAATACCTATTATACTTATAACTACTTACAGAAGCCCATCGAGACATTATTGTTATCCCCAATTTACACAGCAAACAACTGAGACACAGAGATGTTAAGTAACATTCCCTGGATCACAAAGCTAGTGAATGACAAAACTAGGATTTGTATATAGGTCATCTGGTTTCAGAGCCATTGTTCCTAACCACTATTGAGAAGGTTTCAGAGGAGCTAACAATGTTAAGAGCATACATATGAGTGTTTGAGGTGTTAATATTTATATATACACAGTCCCAAATAAAAACATTCATATTTTCATATTTTAAGCCAATGATAATATTTGGCTTACATTAGAAGATGCAAGAATCTAAAATATATATAGATCTGTCAACCTAGGGAAAAAAAGATACTTCATTTGGCACCATAATTTTATAAAAGCATAATCATCTTGCAGCACATAGTTAACAATCTTAAGAAATATAAAACTATTAATGAATTAACTTTATTTCCCCTTTTATATAAAGAAACTAAGACTGAAAACATGACGTGGCTTCTTTGGTGACACACAGCTAGAAAAAAATGTGGATTTGAGATTGGAACCCTGAGTCTAAGAATTATCTACATGGATGATGATTACAATGTTAGTTTTTAAGTAAAGAAGTAAAATATTAAAAATGGTAGGGGTAGTTGTTAAGTAAATCATAATGCAAGGGATAAAATAACATAGAACCATCTTTTTATAAATAAAAAAATATTTGACAAAAAGAAAAATAGTAGGTAAGATAACAAATATGTTTTTATAATATAGACTATGAAGAAAGTCCTTGCTTTTGATTTGTCCCTATACAAACACTGGAACATACTGTTAATTGATGATCATATCAGGACAAAAAAAAAGTCCTTACTTTTAGTAATTTCCACACTAAAGTACTTTCTTAAGAGATACTTTTTCTTTAGAGTCTGCAATTCTTACTTAAATTCTTATTTAAACTCCAGGTATTCACAAAACTAGATTAGTGTTCTATATAATTTTCCTGGAAGTTGTTGCCAGGGTTCTGCCTGGTAACAATTAGTTAAAATATAAAATAGTTTTTCTGGAAAAAATTATTATTTCCATGTTCTGCATCTCAGCAGTGTTTAATCCATATCATGTCAAAATAATCAACTTATTCAGACTGTCTTTTCATTTGTCTGACACCATGAACAGAGGTGAAGTAAATAAAGTAGGCATTAGTACAGCTTCAGGTGATGTGACTGATAATATTTTTTAAACCAAGCAAGCTCTTTACCAACTTCAAGTAGCAAAAGCTACTAGTAAAGACTTAACCTGGTCCTGAATCATACCATTCTTCTCCAAAGATCATGTTTCCATAAAGACCCAGAAACTTGACCATGGAAATACAAAAAAGTATTTTTGTTTACTTCCATTATTTCCATTAATATAGTAAAGGATTTATTGTGTGAAATGGCCTCAATGAAAATTTTTATATGATGTAGGAAAGGCAAAGCCTGATTTCTGTACTTTCACACTCACCTGTAGCAACTACCACTAGACTTGATCTGTGTTGTAATAATTCCAAGAAAAAAATATGTATTTCAGGAGGAAATTTCAGTAAATGGGCTGATCTTCACATTTAAAAGTCAGTGTCCATAACACTATAACCAAGAGATTTGTCGTTTCAACTTCATATCAGTATTTTATGTTATTTTAAAATATAAGTGCTTACCTTCTTCAAGGAAAAATTATTTTATATTTTAACTAATTGTTACCAGGCAGAACCTTGGCAACAACTTCCAGGAAAATTATATAGAATACACATCTAGTTTTGTGAATACCTGGAGTTTAAATAAGAATTTAAGTAAGAATTGCAGACTCTAAAGAAAAACTATCTCTTAAGAAAGTACATTAGTGTGGAAATTACTAAAAGTAAGGACTTTTTTTTTTGTCCTGATATGATCATCAATTAACTGTGTTCCAGTGTTTGTGTAGGGACAAATCAAAAGCAAGGTCTTTCTTCATAGTTTATATTATAAAAACACATTTTTATTTATTATCTTACCTACTGTTTTTAGGTTTTTAAATTAGAAATTTAAAAATTTTTCTGTTTGTCTACTTGCAGGAAATACTAAAGAATGAAAAATACAGGGAAGAAATGAAGATAAAAAGCAAAATATTTATTGAAGAAGGAAAGCTCCTAAGTAAAGAGGCCAACGAGGAACTCTTGCCTCCACCAGTGCAGACTGAAGTTAAAGGGCATGCCTCTGCCCCATACTTTGGAAAAGAAGAACCCTCGGCAACACCCACCAGCACTGGGAAAACCTTCCAGCCAGGGTCCTGGGTGCCACAAGATAGCAAGAGCCACAATCAATGAATTGCACAATGGTAAAAATCATTTTACTTATACAGATATGACTATTTAAACAAATAAAAAGTTTAAAACTTAATTATCATTACTGAACTTATAACTTAT